TAACAGAAAGTCTAATATTCAGAGAAATGATATTAAAGGGACTAAAGATGTTAAGTGTTCATTCTCAAGTTTGAACAAAGTACTTTTACAAGATTTTTAGCTTTAAAATCACTATCTTATTAATTAATTTTTAGTAGTTACCGGTCTTTTCTTGTACAAAAGATATGAAAGATGTAAAACGTTGACCCCCAAGAACACAGAGTTCCAGATCATTATATCCAAGGCACATCGGTAGAGAGTGGCCCAGACGATATAAAAGGTACATCCTGTTGAACAACACAGTTAACATGTTAGATGTCTAGAATACAGCATCAGCATAGAGCCGAATAAATGTGTTATCCTCTGTGAATAAAACAAATCAAACACATTTTTTAAATATTTAAGCATTACAAAAACCAAATATCACACTAAGTTCCTGTTTGGTTTTTGTCTGATTATAAAAGAAAACACATGCTTTGTTGCAGAAAATGTGTAAGGCATGGAAAATGTTTTTAAATGGGGAGAGGGGAAGATACATAATTCTACTGCATAAAGACAACCACCATTGCCATTTTGTACTTCCCTAGAGTCTTTATGCATTTTTACCTGGTAGCAAACCTATTTTTACCTGGTGACAAACCAATTGCATATACAATTTTAAAATCTACTTTTTTACTTACTGCATTGATTTCCCCATTTCATTAAAAATTCTTCGTAAACATGGTTTTTAATGACTGCAATTAATTAAACTAAAATTTATTTAGCCCTCCTCCTACTGTTGGGCAGATGAAATTTTTAGGGTATAATTTTTGGTAATATAAGTAGCAACAACATTTTTGTATATAAAAATCTACTGTATTTCTGACTGCTTACTTAGGATGGGTTCCCTGAAATCAAGGTGAATAAACTTTATAGTTTTTTATGATATTGAACAATTGTTTTCTCAAAAGTTCATAAAAATTTGCACTCCTACTAGTAGGGAATGCCAGCATCAAGTTGTCAATATTATAAAATTTGAAAACTCCTATTTGATAGTGAGAAGTTGTGTATTTTGCATTTCCATGATTACTGGTGAAGCTGAATATTTTACAAAAACGTTTTATCCGTATGAATTTTTAACTTGGTGATTATCCATTTATCTATGAAATCATTTTGCTTTTTCTTATTGATTCTCTTATCTTTAGACAAAATATCTCAAGTTTCTTTCGATCAAGTTTATGGTGGGAGAGTTAATATGTATTGTTAATTTAAAATAAAACTGTCAATATGATACAAATGTATCAATGACACACATGCACACATAAAAGCTAACTTCCTAATTAAATGACAAACTGTTATTCATTTGTAATTTTTTAATTTTATCAGAATGATTTGGGGTACCTCAATAATAGCCCAAAATGTAAAAATTGAAATGTTCTTTAAATGATACCTCATAGCAAATACTTAAGGAAGTTTAAATATTATTGCTTAAAGGAGACAGGGTAATATAATTTAAGGACTAACTGGGCAGCTGGAAGACCTGAATTACAGTCCTAGTTCTGTCATTTTTCACCATCTTAACTTTACTAGGCCTTAGTTTCCCCATTTGTAGAATGGACTAGATGATCTCCTTGGTGCATTCACCCTCCAAAATTCTGTTTTAAAATGCTTAA